AGATTGCATGGTTTGAACTGACCGGTGTTCGCAACCATACTCTCACCACCAGGCAACATGCGTTTTGTGCCCCTGGGTGCCCGGTCTATAAATGTAAGTTCTTGTGAAAATTTACTTCGTATCCTCATCAAGACTGATGATTCCGATTGCTTGTAGTGACCGATCTGAGTCAAATCGAATTCAAGAGGAAGAAATGTTCGACAACAACCGATTTGCCCGGTTCATCCAATGTCACTCGAACTCGTACTTCTTCAACCGAGCGATCTCCTTCACCCTCTCTTCGCACAGGAAAGACTCCACGAATTCGACAAAGAGAAGGCACACATGAGGGAGCAGTATCTACCAACCAGGGCGTCAGCGGCGAGCCAAGTTTTCGACGAAACGGTGTTCGGAGCACCTCTGCATGCAATCCTGTACAGGATAAATTCTCTGGAATGAGCATCAATCCGGAAAAGTTTACCCTTCAAGAACCTCATCATTCCTCTCCGAAAGCCTCTTCCTTTACTCGAGAAACAAATCGAAATTCCAGCAATGTGCCCGGAAATTCTAGATCGAAAAACTTAATCGGGGACATGTCAACTGCCTTTGCTGGTCCTCATCATACCCAATTGGAAAGTAGCTCGGCTCCAAACCCAGGTGTGGCCAACCAGCTCCATGCGTTGATCAATTCTCAAAGCTCGCAAGAGGCAGAACCGTTGATGTGCGACTTCCTTATTTTAGATCCTGCCGCCCCGGCAACGAATATCTGTCATGAGAAACCTTTCCACTTTGATTGGAAGTTTGGGGCACTCTTGGTGGTATCCTCGGTACATTTCTTCTGGTTCATCCGGGCATGGTGGGATGAATATGCTCATGCATATTAAGTCTCATCTAGAGTCCTTATGAAATATATTGAATCGCTTGAATAGGATACGCACTCATGTTTACCCTGAAATGCTCATGCTACATACTCTTTCATTATGGTCTTAAGAGCAACCCTTTCATATTTTTTGGAGCTAAAGAATTGTTTTGTGATACATGTATTTCTTGAGGATGTCCAGTCGTAGGTCTGATAAGCCTTCAAATGTGTCTATGGACCCAGGGGGTGTACCTGCTTTTTTTGAAGAACTCTCGTTGTTTGTGTTACCCCTGATCGCTCCCCTCATACAAAAGTATCATGCGATCTGCTCCTCATTTCTTTTGGTGTTTTTCTGAATTCTGATGTGGGCTCTTCCAGTCACTTTTTGTGTTCATCAACTTGCAGCCCTGCACAAGTCAAAATATCCAGTCATGTAATTGGATGAAAACTCATGCATGTCTCAATTATACAATTTAACTCAAGATACCCGTCCCGTGAAGAGATGGACTGGAAAAGGAAGTGTCTTAGAGGTCAGGGTTATATAGATACTACTTCAAGGATGTGAAGGTCGTAATGTTAATCTGATCAATTCCTCAGTCGCAAGCGTTTGGTTCAAAAGTGTAATGTTGATCGGATCACTACCTCAGTCGAAAGCGTTTGATTCGAACCCAGGACGTGAGTGTCTAGGAGGTGACTGTTGAGTGTTCAAAGGAAGCTGACCTGAACACAAACGTAATGATGAGCTTCCATCCAAAATTAACGGGAGTCCTGTGTTCTGTGACTGAGTGCTGAGCCAGGTGTGCTGAGCGGGGTGTAGTTGTCAATGGGGCTTACTCTGAGGTGTTAGCAGGCCGGATTCAGCACGTGGCTTGAATGAATGGCATACTACGCGTGTTTTGGTCAATGACGCGTTCTCGGGTACGTTATCAATGGCGATACTAACATGCGGCGTTAAGCAGAGAGCATCTTACGAATATCTTTGGGGACAAAGGGCTCAAGGTGAGTCTTCTTTTGCTACCTTTGCAAAACAAAGAGATTCGAAAACCAGATGGGTGACACGGTTATAAATTGCTATGATCTCAACTTAGGAGCCGGCACTCACCCATTCACGATATTCGATCTCACCTATCAAAACAAATTATCTACTCACCTCAAATATATACCGGTTATCTTTGACATCACTCGTCCACATTCTCACCTAGTCATCGCTTCGAAGAATATTTCTCTAATAGTTGAATTCATCCTTAATCTAGCTATCTCATCTTCATCTTACTAGCCATGATCATTTCTGGAAACATATCAATCACAGGGAATATTACTTCACCTTCAAGACCTATACGTAGACGCTCAGCTCCTATCCGAGCATGTAGAATGGCTGTACCTTCTCATAACCATCCAAACCGCCGAGCAGTCCGTCCGTCCACGCCCCACGAAGACCCTCTGTTCTGGAAGAAAATCTTTAGCGTACTGACTGAATTGATTGAAATCCTCTCACCCAACGTTAAACTTCAAGCTCGATCAGTGACGAAGGGTGCCCTTCGAGAACTAATCCACCACTTCGTACCGAGTCACCGCGTACCCCGCAATATTCTCAAAGCCAAGTTGATCCGTGTATTCAGAACACAAGTGCTACGTAAATATGGCCCATTTCATGGTCTTTGAGAGAATCAGAAGATATTCAATGTCAGTAATCCAGACCAGCTTGTAAAAAGGAAATGTCGACAAAACTAACCAAATACCTCATTTTTACACTTCCCTGGGCTTCATCGGTTTAGGAAGTAGGTCGATTTTCCGAGTTCATGCGTAAAGGTTCAAAACGGTCATTTGTCCCATGTGCAGATTGATTTGAAGCGGTCTAGCCTATGCTTTCTATGATGTTTCAACACCTTCTCACCTATCCTTCACGATCTCTTATTCGTTGTGTATGTCAAGATATGAAATGGTTTCTTTATTGATGGGTTTCCGGAGATACTATGATGTCAAACTTTCAAACTGGATGTATGTATCTATGCCTTCTCATCTCTTGTGTATCTCTGGGCGACGCTGGGAGTTATTGATGGGTTTCCGGAGATACTATGATGTCAAAACTTTCAAACTGGATGTATGTATCTATGCCTGTTAATTTCTTGTGTATTTCTGGGCGACGCTGGGAGTTGCTCTTTCTATTGTATCATGTGGGTAATCTGGAGGCTGGATAGGGCCGTATTTCTCTGGAGTATGTACAAGGTTAAGTCTGTGCCGTACGGACAAAGAGTTACCCACCAAGAAGACAATGACTCCGGTAATGTGTTGTGGACGCAGCCATATCCAGTTTTAAGCGTAAGATTTGGAACATGCTGAGTGGTGTGAAAAACTCTCCACATCACCCTGACTACATGGAAGCACTTAATCCCAAGAGTGGCTATGTGCTGAGTCTCCAAGGGCAAGTTCGAACTTCAAAGTCAAGTTCGAACTTCGAAGCTTTATATGTTAAGGTCTCTTGAGGCTCGAAGCCCAGACCTCTGACACTCGAGCTTGAGATTCGAAGTTCGAAGTTCGAAGAGGTCAGATTTGAAGTTCAAAGAGCTCAAGACCAAGTTCAAATGGGCCTTGTACAGAAAAGCCCACGCTTTTTGTTTTTCGTGTCAAAGAAATAAGCAAGACAGAAAATTTTTCTGCAATTTTTGTGTCGATTCGAGACCAAATCGGTCCTACGCCGATTGCATCGGCTGCTTTTGGAATGTGTCGCTAAGATGCAACCGAAGTTGCCTCGCCAGAGAGATTGAATCGGGCATTCAGGGGATTGAATCGCGATTCAAACACCGACATGAAATCGAAAAAATGATTGAATCGGGACAAAAGGCCCGACATTTAGTTGCTCAGAGGGGATGCGATGCGATGATTGTATCACACATTTGTTTTAGTCGGATGAGCGCTATACGAGTAGCCATCGGACCTGATCAGACTGAGGTTCAGTCGGCGGCCACCAATGCGGTGTGGGATCGGCGCTCAGTTTCATCGGTTGTGCCAAAGCGATCCTCAATCGGACTGCGGATCCCATCGGACAGTGAAGATGTGATTACACATCGCACAACAATTCTATCGCCCAATTTGGCCCCGACCCTGCTTCGGAACACCGTCCACGATGTGACATCGGAAGGGGCATTCCGACGTGAATTTCTTGGCGGTGCTTGTCATACGTCCTTCTCAACAAAACTTGCAGATTCAGTTGTCACCCGTTAATCCGGTTGTTCCTCAGAAACGACCAGGATGGGAGTGGCAGCCACTGTCGATTCCTGCGCCACAGGACATCTCTAGCGCCATCAAAGAGTCCAACATTCTGGAACCAGGCGTGAAAAGACATCGAGCTAATCTTGCTCAACGGCAACGTGCTCGCACTGCTCGAAAGTTACGAGCTAAGGCAATTCGTCTTCAAGTCAAGAATTATGAAGATGAACACAAATTGATTGATTCTAGCATGATTCTTCGAACGGCCTTTACACCCGGTTTTCATCTAACTCAACGTGCGATGAAAACTACAGCTGTGGCAGGTGTGAGTATAGACCCAAAGACTTACCTGCAGGCGTTGAAATCCGACAATCAGTTTGATTGGAAGAAGGCAATTGACAATGAGCTGGAAAACATGGAACGACGAAAGGTGTGGGAAGTGTGTGATTTGCCAGCGGGAAAGAATGCTGTGGGAACCACGTGGGTATTTAAGAAGAAGATGGGGGGTGATGGTGAACTTATTAAATTTAAAGCCCGATTGTGTGCTCAAGGCTTCTCACAAGAATATGGAGAAGATTACAACGAAACCTTTGCACCGACAGGACGAATAGCCACATTAAGAGCAATCAACGCCATGGCTGCTTTGGAAAATTTAGATGTGTATCAGATGGACGCTGTGGCCGCATTTCTGAATGGAAGTCCTAAGGAAACAATTTACATGAAAATTCCAAAAGGATTGACTGTGAATGGTGCTACTTTAACATCAGTTTTAAAATTAAAGCAAGCATTGTACGGTTTAAAACAAGCGCCGAAAGTGTGGTATGATTGCTTAAGAGCATTTTTCATTTCAATTCAACTCATTCCTTCTACCTCGGATCCTAGTCTATTCATTTCAAAGGATCCTACGTGGAAATGCATTGTGCATGTACATGTTGATGATCTAACAATTGCGACAGATGATTTCAACGATTTCGAAGTCTCATCACTCAAAAGTTCCAAATGGATGAAGATGTAGAATATAAATACATTTTAGGAATGAAGGTGACAAGAAATCGAGAAGAAAGAACAATCACTCTGACGCAATCTCAATATATTCAAAATCTATTAGAGGAGTACAACATGGCGGATTGTAAATCAGTAGGGTGTCCAATGAGTCCTGGAAGTTATTTAGTGCCGGGGTCAGATGATGAAGTTAGAGAATTTAAGGATTTAGATGAAAATTATCGGCACGGTGTTGGAAAACTAATGTATCTTAATAATGCTACGCGGCCGGACATTTCCTTTGTAGTCTCTCAATTGTCTCAGCATCTAAACAATCCTTCAATTCTTCATTGGCAAGCCTTCAAGCGAGTATTAAGATATTTAAATGGGACGAAAACAGTTGGAATAGTATTAGGGGGAAAAGATTTAGAATTGAAAGGATATGCAGACGCTGATTTTGCTTCATGTCCGTATACAAGAAGATCAATAGGAGGATATTGTACAATGGTTGGTGATAGCACGGTTAATTGGAAGAGTAAGAAGCAGGAAAATGTAGCTACGTCAACAACGGAAGCTGAGTATCGGTCTGCGTATGAAGGTGGCCAGGATTTGGTGTGGTTTCGACATTTATTAAACAATTTATCAATTAAGCAACACTCTGCTCCGGTTTTGAATTTAGATAACCAGGGGGCAATTGCATCGACCAAGAATGAACAATTTAAATCACAAACAAAACATGTCGATGTTAAATATCATTGGCTTAGGGAGTTGGTGGCAGATGATCAAATGAAGGTAGAATACGTATCGACAGAAAATATGTTAGCGGATATTTTTACC